AATGTAAAATATTTTGTGTATCATTTGTTTTCACCCCAAGCAGGCGGCAGGCCCTGCTGGAGGTGTGGATTTCTTGCATTAGTCCTTTTCCAACACTACCACCAGTGGACAAGTGGGATGAATTGACTTTGAGAGACATGTTTTCAGCCTTGACATCTTTTCTTGCTCATCTGAAAGAAGTTTAAGCTATGGAAGGGTTGCTCCAGCATGATCTGCCGAATGTGGGGGGACCACTCGGCCACTGGACAGCAGACCCTCACCAGTGCCCCATCTTGTTCTTTATTAGTTAAAACAGTGATCCATAAACAATCAAAACCCAGGTGGATGTTTTTGTAAGTTTCCCCAGCTCCTGCAGAGAGCCTGGTTTTATAGAAATAAACAGTACTGAGCCATGTGTTCCTTTTTCCCCTTTCTCCATCTGCGTGGCAGCTAGACCATGGCTTTGAAGTGTCGGCCAGCTTTTCTGGGCTTACCTCCTTGTCTGGACGGTCAATGTGTTATCCCTCCGAGGAGTAAATTTTCATAGGGGACGATGATGGAACAAATCTGCTTACAATGGGCTCAGCCATTCTATGTCCCATGCGTGACTTGACTATAAGGTCTGCTGGTCATCTCCAGGGTTGAGACTCTGATGCTACAGACTGGGAGCATCCCCTTGCCACAGCTCTGGAGTTGGAGAATTTCTCCATCTCTGAGATCACACCACTGAGTTTCTGAGTGGCAGCCGTGTTAGTCTGTGTCAGCAAAAAGAACGAGGAGTCCTTGTGGCACCTTAGAGACTAGGGTTTTAGCCCACGAAAACTTATGCTCAAATAAATGTGTTAGTCTCTAAAGGTGTCACAAGTACTCCTCGTTCTTTTCACTGAGTTTCTGTTATCAACTTTGTGCTCGGATTCACTGTTTCAAAGGGGTGGAAGGCTCTATAGGACTTTGTCTTAGTCTGCAGATGTCCCCCTTAGCCGTCGGACCCACACTACCCCTCATTGTGGAATTGACTAGGAGTGGCCTGCAGCAGGCCCTCACGGAGATGAGACCAAGAATTCTATCTGGGGCTGATGGACAGTAGTGGAAAGAACCTGGTTACGCACTAGCAATGGCCCATGTTGGAGGTCTAGTTATGGTGCTGCTGAGTATAGGAATGGATGAATATTGTGGAGTAGGTGTTTTTTGCTAAACACTTGCTATTTGGAAGGGGGGGGTTACAACACTGGTTTTGGTGGACATGTCCCCCCCCTGTAATTTAGACCCTGTGTTTTCTTCCATTAACCTTGCTGGGATCATAACTTGTGGTTTTCCCTGAGTCAAGATCATTCAAATCTGAGGCGTACACATCTAAGTTATCCCCCTCCAGCATTGTATTAAGGCTTTTCCTCAACCCACCTGCAATCTTCTAACCAGCCTTCCACTGAAGTCACTCCGGGCCACACCGACTAGCAGTTACAAACTGCACGCTCTCACACAGACTCATGGAACAATCGCATGGTTACTTTTCTTTTTAAGTTAAATTTGTGGGCATATTTATCAAAACGGAACCACCACCTGAATTCCCCTGCTTGCATGCAATGATCAGCCCAAACATCGGTCCTTAAAATCCTGTGCGCATTGCCACGTGGTGGCCGACTGGTGCCTATCAGAAATAAGGTAAGTCACAGTCCGGGACAGGCATCCATGTCACAAAATCCACCCTGGCCACAAAGCTTCCTTGCTGGCCATCTCAGGACAGGATTCAATGGACTACGAAGACTAAACTTCTCTCTTGGCCTCTACAATCGGGATCAGACTAATTGGGGCAGCATGTGGGAAGCCCACTCACCCTCACACTTGGTCCCGGTGGCTCTTGCTAGCCTACTCCCTGTTAGATACAGCATCCAACAAGCTGACACTTGGCCACACCGTATCTGTTCTATGAATACACAGAAGACTCTAGTCTCCAGATCTTTTGATCTAGCACCTTTCCATGGTGCTAATCTCACTTAAAAGCCAAGTTAAAGGTGAAAAATAAAAAAATAAAATAAACCAGGCTATAGTTAAATTTCTCCTTTCACCTTTGACAAATATCCCTGAATTTTTAAAGTTCAAACTCTCTCTCTCTGCTTTTTGCAAGTCTCCAGGGCAACTGTTTTTAAACCCGGCCGCGAATCTCCCTCCCCCTGCCCCCAGCGCAGAGCAAAAGTTTAAAGTGAGGTCAGACCCACTTGAGGCACCTTTCCCGAACGCAGCCCTGCCATGCCTAAAAGGAGATGTGCTGCAGAAATCACTGCCAAGAGGCGCTTCCAGAACTACAAGCCTTTTCCATCAGCGACTACCAATGCAAATAATACCTGCTTGATTTTATTCCTTCCTAGCTATAAGGTGGCATTAAGGATTTAAAGAAACCTATCTAATAGAGTGCTGGAAATTATAAATCAGTGGGGCTTTGTAAAGGTTATTACTTTAAACAAAAGGGCAGCTGAATGGAACCAATTAAATGGCACCTGAATTGATAAACAAACTGGTTATTGTAGGGAGCTATTCTCCACATTTTTGTGTGTCCCCCCTCCCACCCCCTTCCTCCTGAGAGTCAGTAATAATGAATAAGGAGCAAGGCCTGTGGAGAAATTTACATGTGATTGGAGTTTAATGGGCCGCAACAGGCCTACCATCCGATCGCCATGGAAACCAATCCTTTCTCAAGATTTTAAACAGTCTGAAATGTCCTTTTATTGTCTGCTTAAAATGTGTCATGTGAGCCCAACGGGGTGGGCGCTTGTATGTATCAATTTGTTTCTGTCTCAAGGCATGCCACTGCCAGGCTATGAATATATGTGGGGGGGGAATGGCCGGGCAAGGAGACAATGGACACAGCTGATTTGGAATCCATGGAGACCCTGCCATACTATGCTCTGGAATGGTGACATATGGTCTCAACCTGACCCAGGCGATAGAGTTACAATAGGCAGCCACGTTGCTCCACACAAGAGCTGGGGGGTTGTTCCTTTTTGTTGCTGGCTATTCATCCCGTGGCCAAGTAAACTTTTTCCATGCCTCCCTCTCTCTCTATTTTTTTTTTTAAACTCCAGCCGTTGATCACTAGAGCCCTGCAAAAGAAAGAAAAGACTCTCCATGTCTGAGAGATGTTTGCTTTCCACTTGATTTGAAACTGGATGAAGGTAAATATTGGAGCGGTGGTGAATACAGGGGGATGGGAGAAATGTCCTCCAATATTTGAACCTAGGAGGTGCCAGACAGCATCAGACCATTGGTCCATTAGTCCAGTATTGCCAATCCCAAATGTTCAAAAATCATGAGTCAGGCTCAGCAAAAATCATGATTGTTTTTAAAATCATGAGATTATGTACAAATAGATTTGGTGTTCTTTCTATTTGCCTTCTGCTTTTTGAGCCTTTAGGCTACACTTTGATGCTTTCTCCACAGCCATGAGGGCTAGAAACTTACTTTTTCCTTCAGTAATGAAGGCTGAAATCATCACATATTCACTTGACTCCAGGAGCTGGGGCTTTAAGGAAAATGATAATTAACGTGAAATTCATGAGAAAATCATGGGTTGGCAACACCGGAAACACCGCCGTATCATGCCTCTTGCAGTGGCTAGTACCAGATGCTTCAGAGAACGGAGCAAGAAACACTAGAGTGGACAAGTATGGAATAATCAACCCATCAGGAAGTTTCTTCCCAACGCTGGCAGTTGGCACGTGCACTAACCCATGAGTGCTTATGGCCCCTTCCAAGGTGTGTGAGTGGGTGGTTCCACTCCCCAAAAGCTAACGTAACTCTTGGTGCTCTCATTATTCATATAAAGTGCCCCATTCTTTTTTGAAGCCTGCTCAGCTGTTTGCTTCAGTGGCATCTTGTGGCAATGAGTTCTACAGCCTAATTGTGGGTTCATATTTAAAAAAAATTTGCTCCAGCTGTGCTCATGTCCCCCTGTTTGTGTTCACTTCCCCATGAATGTTCAACTCAGTGAGTTTCACCAGCATTATTTATGGAGAGCAAATTTCAGGGTCAAACACATGAGGATGAGTAGAAATAGGTGGTTACATTTGCATCACACATGTTCCCAATCAGAGAATAAGAACAATACCTGCTAACTCATCATCAAACCAATCACAACCAACCAAGTGGCTTGAATATCAAAACATTTGGAGAACTGGGTCATGATCAAACCAAAGAGTAAAAAAAACAAAAAAAATTTAGGAAGAAAAATAATCAATTACTTTCAAATAATTCTTCTGAGAGAAATTAAAGTTCTTCCACAAGCAGGAAAACCCTACCGAATCAACTATTCATTGCAAATTATTTGCCAAGCTCGACTTAACTAGACACAATCAGTGTTCACTGACTTTTCTGAGGGGAAGGGAAATTTGCAAACCTTGGTCATAAGACAGGATGCCGTATGGGATGTAAATAAATCAATTCCTCATTGCTTTCCTCCCCTGACCCTGTTTCTGCTTTAGAAGCCATACCAATTTCTTGTTAAGAACATGGAAGTCAGTGTTAAAACAGGATCGCTCCCAGGAATGGAGATTGGCTTCTTCTCTGGGCTTCAAGTTTGGCTACAGCCCTGGTTGGTGATGAATGAAAGTTATAATCTTTTGTTGGCTGTTGAGCAGTCTACGTGAGGTGAATTTGTCAGGTTTCAGCCCAGCACCCAGTAAGCACAAAATCTTCCATCCCCATTGACACCTGTGTTCTCAGAAAAGTTAGAGGATTGAGACTAAACAATGTAGAGGGGATCCTTCCAGGTTAGGGGCAAACCCCTTGGTAGAGCAGTGTGGAATATCTGCACAAGCTGTAACTGTTCTGCGGCTCAGCAGAACTCCAAACTCACTTGGGTTAGCTGTTGCTCATGGCTTCAGTGAGGACCGGGGAGCGAGCCAGACCCTTGCTGGCTACTTTTCAGGAATATTGCAAAGCTTATTCCTTTCAGCTGATTTGTTCACTTTTGGGTCATCCCCCCTCCCTCATTGCTTTCACATTCTGCTTTATTTGCACAAGTGGGGAACTGATCTTGTCTCCAGTGAGGTTTGCAAAACAGTGACAGTTTAGCAGTGAGGTTTGCCTTTAGTACCACAGTGCTTTGCTGGTGTTTAGCGGCATAGTTAGACCGATTGGCTTTCCTTTTAGGTTTTTTAATATTTGGTAGTGCAGTATTTGTTTTACACTCAGAAGCCCTTGCAAGTCACTTTATAACATGCTTATATTATCAATAGAGGTCATTTGGAAAGGTGTACGCATTGCAATAATTCAGTTTTGAACATACACCTAATTCTCCAGGGTATCTACCGAGAGAAGCCAAGAAACCCTTAAATCACAGAATTATTGTCTAGCTGGAGTTTTATTCCAGCTTCTACCAGTGACTCCTGAATGATTCTGCTGCTTTGGCTCCGTTTCCCCAACTGCAGATGGGTGGAGAATGCGACTGATCCACTTCCCCACAGTGTCCAGATCAGTTGCTTGGAAAGTTCTTTGAGGGTGAACGGTGCTAAATGTTATTTCACTCTCCCAGTGGATGTTCATATCTGGAAGCAAGAGATGCAAAATTTCACTGTTAATTTGTATCTGCCATATCTCTAAATGCCTCCACCTGTTTTATGAAGCATGTTGAATGGGGATGTGACAGTGAGAGAAAGGCAACTCACTAAGTCAGGTGAGGGGATCAAAGATACTCAGCAAGACAGAGGAGGAGCGGAGACTGAAAAGAGACCTGAATATGGGTAGTATAAGCTAAGATCTGTCAGATCTTGCTACTGCTGCTAGCAACTTATGACAAAAGTTGGAGCATAGGGAAGGAAGCACCAGTTTTGTTAAGCCTTGTCTATACTGGGCAGTCATTAAGCATGCTTCACTAGATGTGCTAACGAGTCCCAAGCTACATGCCTGTGCAGAACTCCATTTACTCTGATGGGGGCCTAGCCCCAGGGCCACCTGAGGGGCGGGGCACGCGCAAATGGGGCAATTTGCCCCAGGCTCCGGGCCCCACAGGGGCCCCCACAAGAATATAGTCAGAGGCGGCTCCAGGCACCAGCGCGTGCCTGGGGCGGCAAGCCGCGGGGGGCACCCTGCCGGTCGCAGTGAGGGCGGCAGAGTCAGGCAGCCCTGGTAGCGTGCCTGCAGGAGGTCCGCCGGTCCCACAGCTTCCTTGGTAATTCGGTGGCGGGTACGCCGAAGCCGCAGGACCGGCAGACCTCCCACAGGTATGCCGCCGAAGGCTGCCTGACCACCCTGTGCTTGGGGCGGCAAAATACATAGAGCTGCCCCTGAATATAGTATTCTATAGTATTGCAACTTTTTTTTATGGAAGGGGCCCCCAAAATTGCTTTGCCCCAGGCCCCCTGAATCCTCTGGGTGGCCCTGCCCAGCCCCATACAACTCATTGCAGAACTGGGGCTATGGTTTCCCCAGCCAGCATAGATAGAGCTCTAGAGTCACGTCACAGCTAAAGATCACACTAAATCCCTCCATTTGCTTAAGAAAACCCAAAGCACTAAAGCCTCTTTTCAAAGCCCAGGAAGGATTTCATCATCCCAGCAACCCCACTCTTGCATTTTCTACCTTTCACTGTTACCCACTTAGAGTCTCCTAGATGCTATCCTAGGCTTATATTAAAAGAGGCTACTGCCATTGGAACAGGACTTTTATAGCTATTCTCCAGGAGTAGGTGTGTGCTGGGCGGAGCAAAATCTTTAACTCCGCCTCAAGCCACCTCCCTATAAAAAGGGAACTGCCAAGCCCCCACCTGCTCCTAATGGTTAAAATCAGTCTGGGCTGTTTCACATCATGCCTTTACCAGATACAGTCTCCAAATTTCATTGATGCATGATATGCATCCAAAGAAGTGGGCTGTAGTCCACGAAAGCTTATGCTCTAATAAATTTGTTAGTCTCTAAGGTGCCACAAGTACTCCTGTTCCTTTTTATTGATGCAATAGGAATCTTTCCCTGTTGAGAATTAACATAGGTGCTTTATGATGATGATTTGTATTGCCTATGAGCTCTGGTTAGAGACTAGGAGCCTGTTGTGTTAAGTGCTGTGTACAGAATAAAAAGAGAGTCCTGGCTCCAAGGTGGTGGTTTGTTTAGTCAAAAGCTTTCCTGGAAAAGCCAGACTTTAGCTCCCTTCCCATACACCCTCATGCTCTTTGATGGGGTCTTACAATGGTCACCCTTTCCATTGAGAACCTTTGTAAATAACTCCTAAAGAGGCAAGAAATGATTAATGGCGGGTACAACATACGGCTATTCTAGTATTATAGATTGTTATAGAATTCAATAAGTTGCTTATAACCATCTCCAATACCTCCTTCTAATGTGCTTGTAAGCATCAAACACATCCTACTCATCTGTAATATGCTTGTAAAACCCATTAATACTTTATAAGCTCTTTAGACATGTACCCTCAACATAAAATGTTATGAGGGAAACTATATAACCATTATTTAAAAACCTATTTGATGCAGGTTTTCAACTAAATTTGAGACACTAGTTAACTCCTTATGGTTGTGAGGAATGGCCCCAGACTTTCTACTTTCTCTGCCAATGTGTGTGACATCACAACTAGTATAAATTTAACTCCCAGTGTCTGACTGCCTTCCCTCTCTTGCCTTTCCACACAGCACACGCCACGCTGTGTGGTCTGAAGCATCAAATTCAACATAGGAGACATGATATAGATGTGCATTAAGTGGAGGAAAAACCAGTGAAGTTATAGGTTTTCTGTTTAGTATCTCCTCCAGATAGCCTCTGGAACTCCTTGCCACAAGATAACCCTGAAATCAAGAGTTTAGCAGGATTCAAAGAAGATAAGACATTTATATGGGTAACAAGAATATCCATAGTAATGAGAGAGCAAGGATTAAGTCAACAGTTTTGGAAGGGATGTAAACATTCATGTGTTAGGGCATAAGCCAACCTCTTGTTAACAGGGTCAGAAAGGAACTTATTCCATTGCTATCTACTGCTTTCTCTGAAGCAGCGAGTTCCAGATACTGTTGGAGGCAGGAGATTGGACTAGATGTAACACTGGTCTTTCCGCCTGCCCCGAGCACTCTGAGGATAAGCTACCAGGGGCTGATGCTCATTCCTGACACCTTGTACTGTTATTTGCACCTGTACACCGTGGGTGGAGAACAGTACCGTTCTCATTAGGGTAGCATTTTAGACCCAAGTTGCACTGATGCAAAGTGCTACCAAAGGACTGAGCCAGATGCAAGGTAATAGAGCATCAGTCCTCTGGTGCAGGAGTTCTTCAGCTGCCACAGCCCAACAAGAGGCCATCTTGTCCCCACCATGCTCAGCTGATGGGCCCCTGGCAGCCCAGGTGTCTTCTGGGAAGGCTGTTCTCCTCCCCAGTTACACAACAGCGACAGCTGGCCAGGAGGGGAAATAAAAGATGGCCCTTTTCTAGCCGGTCTGAAGAAGGAGCTGGCACACTGCCCTCTCTGAACAGGGGTCTTTAAACACGACGTCTCTCTCTTCCAGGTTGCCTGCCCCTGGCAGTCGATTAAATGCTTTTGAGCGATGTAACTCTTGTGACTTTGTTACTCTTGCCTCGCTTGGCCTGTGCGCTCACCTATTCACCCCATTCACGTGGCCGTGCAACATGGGGGTGGGGAGGCGGACGTTACAGGACTGTGGAACCGTGATAACAGGGCCTCAGCGAAAGTGCTGACCGTGCCCTAGCGCTCCGGATGGCGGGCTGTTGCAAACCCTGCTTTCGTTTAATCTGATTAGCCTGAAGTGGCCCCTGTGAAGAGAGCGCAAATAATTGGCACTATAAAACGTATGGGGAAGAGGAAGGAAGAAACGACGCCTGTCATTCAGAGGAAGTGTTTTGCGTGACAACAGTTCAAATTCTGAATAAAGATTCTCTCCCGAGGGGGGAAATAATAAACATTATTTAACAGAACACTTGAAAGGCAGATTAACTGCAGGTCCATATGGCCTGTTATAATAAACATCTTTTTATCTGTGGTTGAGGTCGAAACACAGAGAGGGAGCAAAAGCAACAGATTAGGCCCCTGAAAGGCCCAAATTAAACCTGAAGAGGGCTGCAGAAAGGAAGCTGAAGCAGCATGAGGTAAATAGACGGACCAGAGAAACGGAGTGGCAGTTTACTAGATGTCCCAGAAAAGGCAGCTAACACCATGGGTTTCAATTTGGGCTTCATTCTCAGTTACACTCATCTACACACAGAATTGCAAAGGCTTAAAGGTACGATTTTTAAATCAGTTTAATTAAACTGATTCAAAAAGCTGTCTGGACACTCTTATTTCCGTTTAAACTAAGCTTATTTCAGTTAGCTGAAGTTGATTTAGGGGCAGGTTTCAGCTAAACTGCAATAAACCGCTCTCAGACTGAAATCAGAGCCTCTCTTAGAAGCTCTAGCACTAGTTTGAAAAGATTTTAAACCAATTTAAGTTAAATGGAAACAACTGCTATGTGTAGACAAGGCCTTGGGCCCCTTCCCAGCACTCTGCCAGTGCAAAGGGGCTCTAATTTACGTGCCAGAGCAGGGGGAAAGGGTGAGAAGTCAGGTCTATTTGTTTAACCAGGATTCAGAGTTTTAAAGTATAGAATCCTACCCTTGAGAGATGGAAAAAGGCCCATTAAATCCTCTAGGCCATTCTTCTTCTATTTTCTAGTGCTGTGTCCTGCTCAATCTGAAATGTCTCAGGTTACAGGTCTATCAACATCTCCCATAGGAGACTAATCAGGTCCCATAGTGAAGACGTTTAGCGTGTTTTTTGCCCCTTCTTAATTTGATTCCCCTCTTTATTTTGCCCGTGAGAAGGTTAGACATGTAGCAACGTGTCTGTCTGTGACATTAAAGCCCCATCAGTTTTGCATGTAGTGGGTGTTACCATTTGCTTGGGTGATTTTCCTGCCAAATTTACTGCAGTTTCTTACATCTGAAATTTTTTTTTGCCATTATTTAGCTGGGGACATGTAAGCGGGTGCGCGGGTGAATAATCTAAAGCAGGGGTTCTCAAACTGGGGGTCGGGACCCCGCAGGGGGTTGCGAGGTTATTACATGGGGGGTCGCGAGCTGTCAGCCTCCACCCCAAACCCCGCTTTGCCTCCAGCATTTATAATGGTGTTCAATATATTAAAAAGTGTTTTTAATTTATAAGGGGGGGTCGCACTCAGAGGCTTGCTGTGTGAAAGGGGTCACCAGTACCCCTTTGAGCATCACTGATCTAAAGCAAAAGGAAAGGTCAGAATGTTACTAAGTATCTAGAGACATTCACCCTTAGCATGCAACAGTCAGGAAAACACATGTATTTTCACATTGTGGACCATGTGTCCGATGCATTTTGTGTTTAAACAGGATTTGTGTAATATACAGTGTCCCTGAGCCCTCTGCAGAATGATTTAACTGTCGGTTAAAGAGAAAAGGAAGGTTGTGAGGTGAGACTGAAAGAGAGGAAGTGACGGCAATACAACGTCACATCCTGACCTTTATCACACTCTGCTGCTTCAAAGTTTGGGAATGAAGCCTTCTGTCTTGCTAGCTAATTACT